GAGTATGATGATGAGTTGGAGGAGAAGGTGGAGGAGGGGGAGGAGAAGGAGGAGGGGTAATGTGTGGAGGGGGAGAAGGAGTTGGAGGATGACGAGGAGGATGGGCAAATCATAATGCTGACGATTGTGATGACGATGATTCGTCGTGTTCAGAAAAGGCGATAAGCGCAACTATAGGATTGATTCTGTCTAATATGATGATAAAAGGGATGAGCTGGAGGAACACGGATTATCGTGGTTGTGTATCATGGTGGTTGTGGTGATGATGATAATGACGGGTGGTGATAATGGTGATGGCGATGCGGATGATGATCTGCTGCTGATGATGACACTGGTGATGATGATGATGATGATGATGACGATGATGATGATGATGATGCTGATGCTGATACTGATGCTAATGATGATGGTGATGATGCTGCTGCTGTTGTTATTGTTGATGTTGCTTATGTTGCTGATAATTCTGTTGTTGCTGATGATGATGATACTGATAATGCTGATGCTGATGCTCATGCTGCTGCTGATGCTGATGACGCTGCTGTTGCTGATGATGATGATACTGATGATGATGATGCTGATGATGGTGATGATGGCGATGATAATTATGATGATCATGATGATGCTGATTACGATGATGCTGATGACGGTGATGATATTGATGATGATGCTGATGATGTAGAAGAATATTCTGATGAGGTTGATTACGAGTATGATGTTGATGTTGATGGTGATGATGATGATGATGATGATGATGATGATGATGATGATGATGATGCTGATGATGATGATGATGACGATGATGATGCTGAAGAAGAATAATAGCACTACGAATAATAATAATAATGATGCTACTAAACATACCAATAATATTAATACTAATAAGAAGATTATAATTCGAATAATAAGAACACCAATCATATAATACGAATAATACTAAGAGGGCCACGAATAATAGTCATATTCATAATGATATTAATTTGCTACGAATGCTACGAGTACAGCTAATGCTACTACTGAGAAGACTAATGATACTAATTCGAATCGTGATACTCATGATGATCACAAGAATAATCAGACGACAAGAGGAGCATGGGGAGGGGGATGGGGAGGACGAGTCGGGGGAGGACGACTGGCAGTCAGAGGCAGACGTGCGCAGCCACAGTGGTCCAGGCTGCCCGCCCGAGATTTGAGCGGCCCGCGCCGGCCAGGCCCCCCGCGCTGGCCTACACGCCTTCCCTCGCGCGGCCTTCGGGGCCCCTCCCTGGGGCCTTCTGAGGCCTCCTGGGGCCTCCTGGTGGTTCCCGGGGCTTTCTTCGGGGCCTCTTCGGGGTCTCTCTCTTGGGGGGGCTCCCGGGGCCTCCCCGGGCCTCCGGGGGCCTCCGGGCGCCTCCCGTGGCCTCCTGTGGCCTCCCGGGGCCTCCTGGTGGCTCCTGGGGCCTCCTGGAGCCTCTTGTGGCCTCCGGAGAGGGTCCCACGGGCATTCTCGGCGCCTCCCGCGCCGCACCTGCCCCGCCCCCTCCCAGCGGACTGCTACACCGCGAGCGTGGTCGACGCCCACGGCAAGTGCGTGCTGACCGAGAGCGTGGAGCTGGGCGGACCGCTGTTCCAGGCCCCCCGCCTGACCGTCTCCTCTCTCTCCCACTTCTTTCTCATCTCCTCCTTCTCCTCCCCCTCCTCCTCCTCCTCCTCCTCCTCCTCCTCCTCCTCCTACTCCTCCTCTCCTCCTCTCCCATCCTCCTCCCTCCTCCCTCCCCTCCCTCTTCCCTCCCTCCCCCCCCCCCCCCCCTCCCTCCCTCCTCCTCCCCCTCCCCTCCTCCTCCTCTCCTCCTCATCCTCCTCCTCCCTCCTCCTCCTCCTCCTCCTCCTCTCCTCCTCCTCCTCCTCCTCCTCCTCCTCCTCCTCCCTTCTCCTCCCTCCTCCCTTCTTGCTCCTCCCTCCTCCCTTCCTCCCCCCTCCTCCCTCCTCCCTCCTCCGTCCTCCTCCCTCTTCCACGCCCGACGTCGTGCTTGGAAAAAGCATCACAACGCTTTCAGAGTAATGGCCAGAGCTCTCGGCCACGCCTTCTTTCGGCGGCGGGCGAGGGGGGGGGGGAGGGTGCGAGGGAGAGACTCCTCTCGGAAGGCGGCGGGGCTTCTCAGAAGCTCTCCGGCCTCCCGAGAGGTGCTCGGTGCCTTCGGTGAAGGCTCAGCGAGCTCTGCAGACGGCCGGGAGACCTCCCGAGCCTTCCGAGCAGGCCCGCCCCCTCTCTCTCTTCCCCCTCTCTTCCCCTCCAGGGCTCGCCGCCGATTTCTGCCAGACTTGCCAGGCCCGGGGCCCGGGACAGCGGAGGCAGGTGCGGCCGCTGTCGGGTGTCGGTGTCGCTCCTCCCAGGCAGGCCGCCAGGGGCTGCGCGGGGCGGGCCTGCGGAGGGAGTCCTGGCTGTTCTCGGCAGCCCCCAGCCCCTTTTTGGTTCTGCACGAGCGACATGGGCACGGAAAGAATGGGTACAATGCCCAACAACGGATCATGTTCATTCTGAGCAGGACTCGCTGTCCACGCCGCCGCGGCCTGTGTCCATTCGAGACAGGAGGCCGCCTGCCCAACAGCGGCCGCTGTTGGTTTGGGGCAACAGTTGTTGTTGGGCATTGTACCCATTCTTTCCGTTCCCCTTTTTGGGCGTCCTAATTGTTGGTCCGAGCCCAGCTCTCCGACATCATGGCCCAGTCCCAGTTTTTTCCCGTGCTGGGTTCTCGTTTTCCACAGCACTGCGGTCGTACACCTCTTCCCGCTTCCCTCCTGGGTCCTCCTGCTTTCTCATGCGCTGCTCCCTGGAGGGGGGGGGGGGCGCGAGCTGCGCAGCCGTCGCCACTCCTCGTGGGCTCCTGGGAGGCACGGCGGAGCAGCGGAGTACCCGAGACCTCGATGCTCCCTGGGGGAGCTGCGACTTGCGCGACCGTCGCCACTTTCGCGGGCTCCCGGGAGGTCCAGCGGAGTCGGGGGGCCCTGCGCACCCAGACGAGACCTCGTTGCTCCCTGGGGGGCTGCGAACTGTGCAACCGTCGCCACTCTCCTCCGAGGCCCAGGGGAGTTGGGGGGCCCTGGTACCCAGACGAGACCCCGCTGCCCGGGGCGCAACCGTCGCCATTTTCGTGGGCTCCTGGGTGGTCCAGCGGGGTCGGGGGCCACGCGCACCTGTTTCAGACCTCGCGGCAACCTGTGTGGCTGAATTGCGCAACCGTCGCCGCTTTCGTGGGCTCCTGGGTGGTCCAGCGGAGTCGGGGGGCACGCGCGCCCAGCCGAGACCTCGCAGCTCCTTGGGAGGCTGCGAAGTGCGCAACTGTCGTCACTTTCTTGGGCTCCTGGGATGCACGGCGGAGATGAGGGCAGCCCTGATCGTGCATATCTGGCGATGTTTTCTTGTGTATGGAGCTTCCATGCAAAGATTCGCCTCGCGTGGAGAAGGGGTTGGGTACGTCTCGGGTAATTTACTGTATTTCCCAACCTTCCTGTGTTGGGTTCTCGTTTTGAATAGCACTGTGGTCTCCACATCCTCATCTCCCGCCTCCCCCCTCCTCCTGCCTCCTCCCGCGCTGCTCCCTGTGTGGCTGCGAACAGCGCAACCTTCGCCACTTTCGTGGGCTCCTGGGAGGTCCAGCAGAGTGACGTGTTACGCAGACCAACATGAGGCCTCGCCGTTCCTTGGGTGCTGCGATCTGCGCAACCGTCGCCATTTTCGCGGGCCCCTGGAAGACCCAGCAGAGTGGCGTCTTTCGCAGATCACCATGATACCTCCCCGTCCCTGGGGGCTGCGATCTGCGAAACCGTCGCCACATTCGTGGGCCCCTGAGAGGCCCAGCAGAGCGCTGTCTTATGCATGTCACCATGAGCCCTCGCCGTCTCTGGGAGTCTGCGATCTCAGAAACTGTTTCCGCTTTTGTGGGCTCCTGGGAGACCCAGCAGACTGACGTCTCACCCAGACCACCATGAGACCTTGCCGTCCCTGGGGGCTGCGATCTGCGACTCTGTCGCCACTTTCGTGGGCTCCTGAGAGGCCCAGCAGAGTAATGGCTTACGCAGACCACCATGAGACCTCCCCGTCCCTGTGGGCTGCGATCCGCGAAACTGTCGCCACTTTCGTGGCCCCCTGGGAGGCCCAGCAGAGTGCTGCCTTATGCAGACCACCATGGGACCTCGCCGTCCTTCGGGGGCTGCGATCTGCGACACTGTCCTGGTCCATCACAGTGACGTCCTACGCAGACCACCATGAGAACTCGACGTCCCTGGGCGGCTGTCTGTGACTCTGTCGCCACTTTCGTGGGCCCCTGGGAGGTCCAGCGGAATGGTGCCTCACGCACATCACCGTGAGACCTCGCCGTCCCTGGAGGGCTGCGACCTGCGCAGCTGTCACCACTTTCGTGGGCGTCTGGGAGGCTCCGCAGCGTGACGTCCCATCGCAGATTAGAATGAGACCTCCCTGTCCCTGGGGGCGGCGATCCTCGAAACTGTCGCCACTTCCGTGGGCCCCTGGGAAGCCAAGCAAACTTACGTCTTATGCAGACCACCATTAGACCTCGCCGTCTCCGGGGGGCTGCGATCTGCGAAACCGTCGCCACTTTCGTGGGCCGTTGGGAGGCCCTGGAGAGTGACGTCCTTTGAAGATCAGAAGAGGACCTCGCCGTCACTGGGGGCTGCAAACTACGAAGCTGTCGCTAAGCGTGCGTTCGAAGGCGCTACTACTGCACAGTTTCAAGCTGGCTCTCCCTTGATGCCAGACTTTCACGGACATCTGGCACCAATTCGCATCGCTGGTGATCCGTCGGACCCGCTGAAAGCATGCTCATTTTCAGTCGCCCCCTCTTTCATGCGAGGCGCCCGCGGACGTCGGACAGTAATTTGGAGTATCGTCGGTCCATCGGACCCGCCGAACGCGTCACCACTTGGTTGCCTCTCTCCCAGTAGTCATTTGCCGCATGTCGTTTTGGAGCTTCTGCCTGTTCCCAGCCCTCTTGTGCTGGGCTCTCGTCCTGAAGAGACGTCGCAGGCTCCGCTTCCCCCCCCCCCCTCCTCCTGCCGCCTCCTGCGCTGCGCCCTGGCGAGGCTGCGAACTGCGCAGCCGTCGCCACGTTCGTGGGCTCCTGGGACGCCCGGCGGAGCCGCGGGGCCACGCGCGCCCCCACGAGGCCTCGCTGCTCCCCGGATGGCAGCGAGCCGCGCAGCATTGGGCGTTGCGTAATGGGGGGGTCATAAATAGGGGGGTGGCGAGGGTGGTCCGAAAAGGTACCCAAACGGTACCTAAACGAGCCCCTTGGGACTCCAGAGGGGCCCGAAAGGGGCACGAAAAGGGACCGTTTCTGACCCCCCCATTTATGACCCCCCCATTAAGCCACGCCCAACAGCAGCTGCTCCTGCGGTGGGCCCCTGGGAGGTCCCGCGGAGCGGGGGGCCACGCGCCCCCCGACGAGGCCTCGCTGCTGCACGGGCGGCTGCGAACTGCGCCACGGTCGCCACTTCTGTGGGCTCCTGGGAGGTCCCTCGGGGTCCAGCGGAGGTGGGGGCCACGCGCACCACCACCAGCGAGTGCACACGAGAGGAGCTCGAGCCGATGCAGTGAAGACCGAGGAGGGAAGGAGGCGGCAGTGGTGTCAGATGACGGTGATGCTCTGGCACACGGTGCGCCACGGCTCCTCGCGCCGCGCGCAGCGGGTCTCCGCCGCCGCGCCGCTGTGGAAGCGATGGCGGGGACCTGTCAAGCCGGCAGCGTCTGGCCTGGCATGCTCGAGGGGGCCGCCGGCCGGGACGACAGGCCGGGGATGCGCTGCGCCAGGGGGGCGGGCACCCCGGGGAGCGGCCCAAGTCGGGCGCGAGGCGCGGCCGCGGCCCGCCCCAGCCCATCCGCAGGCGCACGCGCCTGGCGCCTGCTGGCGCAGCAAGCGCTGGCGCCTCCGCGCCAGGCTCAGGGGCGGCCTAACCGACCCCTAGCAAACCATCCCCTTCCGTGACGTCCCCCTCGCCTCCCCCAAGACGTATGTATGCGGCCGGAGGGGAGCTCGAAAGGCGAGGGTGGCGTCACGGAAGGGGACGGTTTGCGAGGGGTCGGTTAGGCCGCGCCCGACAAGCACCAGAGGCGCCGGAGCGGCCAGCTGCGGGGCGGCAGTAGCATCAGGAGGTCGATGCCGCTGCCATCCCTCGCAGCCCCTTCTGCCGCACTGCAGTGCTGTCTCATCCGAGGCCGGAGGCGCTGCAGCGCGGCTCAGCCCTAGACGACGCCGTGGGGTTCCACAGCGACTGCTTCGCGCCCAGGTAGGCGGGCGCCCCAGGCCGTCACTTTGTCGGGCCCAGGTCCGTCGGTTTCGGTCCTGGGCCGCTTTCACTACAGGGTGGTCTGCCAGAGGGAGGCCTGTCCACCGCCGAGCATGAGGGCTGCAGGAGGGCCACCTGGCGTCGCGTGGCTCTTCGCTGGGGGAGCCCTGGCGTGGGCTTTGCGCGGGGCGGGGCCGCGGTGCTCCAGTGTCGGCCGCGCGGGCCGCCTCCCCCGCGGGGGCCGGCGGCCTTCGCGGCGGCATCCGCCAGTTTTGGGTCAGGCCGGCGCAGCGGCTGCGGTGGCCATGGCGCGCTGCCAATCGGGAGCGGACCAGGGCAAGGCCCGGAAGGATGCGGGGCTGGAGGCGGCCAAGCGTGGCCAGCTGGCTCGCTGCTGGAGCCGCGGCGCGTTCGCGGGATGAGTTCAGGCGTGGGCCCCCGCAGCGGCGCGGCACCTTTGGGACGTCGGCCGCATCGGCCAGATCCCCGCGGACGGGGCGACAGGCGAGGCGCGTGGCGTGGGGCACGGCGCACGGGGACAACGGTGCCGCGGTTTGTCTCCTCGCCATCCCCCCTGCCTGCGAAAGGCGTGCCGGGGCCGCGCTGGCCAGCGGGGCCGCGATTTGCCCCGCCTCCACCCCCTCGCCAAAAGTCGGGCCTGTCCCTCTACAGGGGGAATATTAAAAAATAGTCAAAAGATAGCATGGGGACGATTTTTGGACCAGCCTCCGCCCCCCTCTCCCCGCCCTTCTTCCCTCTGGTGCACCGGCGGCCTTGGTGACGGCCGCCAGGCAGGCCGCCGCACTGCGCGCGGTTGCCGGACGGCGATGCCGGCAACCACCCCTGCTGGCGCCCCTGGGGGCCCTGGGGCGGCCCCCTGGCCCCCTTGCGGGGGCCCGGGGGGCTGGGGACCCAGCTGCAGGTCCTCCTCCTCCGCCTCCGCCTCCGCCTCCGCCTCCGCCTCCGCCTCCTCCTCCTCCTCCTCCTCCTCCTCCTCCTCCTCCCAGGCATTCTCGCGTCGCACGCGAGGCCGCGTTTTTGACCGCTTGCTGGCCCCCGCTTCCTGTCATTAATGAACTGTCCCCGCGCCCGTGCAGCCCTCCCCCCCCGGGCCGCCCCCGTCCCTCCCCGCCGGCCCTCCCTCGCCGCCCCTTCCTGGCACCTCTCTGCCCCTCCCCTCGTGTGCGTCGCCGCCTCTCCTGTCGCCCCCCCCCCCTCGGCTCGTGCCGCGCCTCCTTCCCTCGTTGCCGCCCCCCCCCCCGCCGGTCAGGCTGCCGATGCCGTCACAGCTCCCGGTTCCCCCGCTACTCGGGGTCGCCGTGCTTCCCAGTGAAAGGGTCCCCCTCTGGGGAAGCGGCGACCCCCGCACCCCAAGGCGTGGGGACCAAAGGCATCCTGGGCGACGTCAGCCCGGGTCCGCAAGTTGCCTGTTCCCACGTGTGCCCCTCGAGGGCTGACTCTGGAGCAGCATGGTCCGAAACGTAGTCCCCTTGCGATTCCTTTCCTCCTCCCTCCCCCCTCCTTCCTCGATTCCGGCCCCGGGCCCGCGCGTTGCTCGCGCCAGGTGTTCCTGCTGTGCGGGATCATCGAGATGACCACCACGTATCCGAAGGCCGCTCTGCGGGGGTGCAGGCAAGGACTGGTCCCGTGAGGCGGATGCTGGCTTCTGCCTCCCAGAACCTCCGGCGACGTGCGCTTCCCTGAGAGGGCACGGGTCTAGGGTTAAGTCGGGCCTGTCCCTCTACAGGAGGAATATTCAATAACAGTAATACAAAAGTCAGGGGACGATTTTTTTAGACCATTTTTGAGCATCTTCGAGTATTTTTGAGGTTTTTTATTATTTATCGTCGAAAACCAGCCTGTAGGGGGACAAGCCCGACCTAAGTCCAGGGCTCTCTTGCAGAGGGTAACCTGGAGCCGGTGCCATGCTCAAGGGCCAGCGGATGAGTGTGCGGGGAGTGGCAGGGCAAAGTCCCTTCGCGCCTGCCCGCGCGAGGGCATTGAGCTCCCCAGGTTTTTTCCTTTGGATGGTAAGCCGTAGCCGGTGCCATGCTTGAGGAGGGTCGGCGGATTACTGTGCGATAGATATATCGGCCACGCGCAGAGGTAGGCCGGGGGAGGGGGGATGGCTTCTCAGAAGCACCCCTGCTTCCCAGAAGGCGCGGGCCTTATCTATAGATGTAAGGCCGGCGCCTTCTAGGAGCCCCTCCCCCCTCCCTCCACCCCCCTGGGCGCGCCGCCAAAAATGGCAGGATGGAGTCCCGTTCTGGGTGGTCCAGGTGCGTTTTGCGTGTGCCCGCTCGAGGAGAGTGCGCTCCCCATCTCGGATCCTCGTTGCTAAACGGGGTCCGCGCACATTCGTTTTCCCACGATAGCGAGGGTGCGGAGCGTCTTTTTCGTAGAGTCCTCACTTAAATAACGAGGCCTGGAGGCACCCAATTTTTCTGAAAATGGCGCGTGCGGCGCGCAGGTTCCTCGAGGACTGCAGTGAGGGGCCCAGGTGCCCCAGAATGCCCAAGTTGTTCTGGGAGTGCTGTCGCACCGTTGTTTGCGCGGGATCGTGGCCCTGGAGGCGCGGACGCATCGTGATCTACAAGGGATCGTGGCCCGGGGGGCGTACACAGTTCCCCAATCAGAGCTTGCCTCTGTAGGGGTCCTAGCGGATTTAAGGGTAGGTGAGGTGTGCCGCCGATTCGGTGGCCGGGCCCGGGTGCCCGGGTGCCCAGGTTCGCCGCCGATTCGGTGGCGGGGCCCGGGTGCCCGGATGCCCAGGTGCCCGGGTGCCCGGGTGACGGGTGCCCGGTGCCCGGGTGGGCGCCCGGGTGCTGGGTGCTGGGTGCCTGGGTGCCCAGTGCCCTGTAGGCCTATAGCCTTATAGCCCTGTATCCCTATCGCCCTATAGCCCTACAGCCCTATAGCCCTGTAACCCATATAGCCATATAGCCATATAGCCATATAGCCATATAGCCATATAGCCCATATAGCCCATATAGCGCCCAAGAGCCCATATAGCCCTGTAGCCCTATAGCCCTAAAGCCCTAAAAAGATTATGATTGGGTTTTTCTCTGGTATCATATAATTAAGGGATCCTGGCCCAGACGCAAGTGTTGTTTACGAGGGATGGTGGCCCTGGGGGGGCGGGTGCCGCGTAATTCGCGAGGCATCGTATCCCTGGGAGCGCGGGTGCCGCGTAATTTACGAGTGGAAGCGTGGACGCATCGTGATTTAATTACGAGGGATCGTGACCCTGGGAGCGCGGGCGCAGCGTAATTTGGAAGCAATCTTGTTTACGATGAATCTTGGCCCTGGGAGCGCGGGCGCCGTGTGATCTACGAGGATCGTGGCCCAGGAAGTGCGGATGCAGCGCATTTTACAAGGGATTGTGGCCCCAGGAGTGTGATTCAAGTCTACCTTACAACAAGGAACGCGGCCCTGGGAGCGCGGACGCAGCTTAATGCACGAGGGATCGCTTTGGGAGCGCGGATGCAGCGTGGTTTTCGAGCCACGTTCTTTCGGGTCCGGCGCAGATTTTTCAGGAAACGGCTGGGGGGCCGAGAAGCGTTCCCCGAACATATATTCCCAAATCAGAGCATTCTTGTTTTCTGCCCTGGAGAGAGCGTGGGTGGGTGGCTCTTCGTGGCCCTGGGAGCGCGGACGCAGAGTAATTCACGAGGGATCGTGGCCCTGGCAGTGCGGACGCAGCACAGTTCCTGAGGGTTCCCGGCCCCTGGAGCACCAGAGAGGCCCAGAAGAGCCCCGGGAGAGGCCTCGAGGGCACTCGGGAAAATGGGGATTCCAACATTTCTTTTTTTAGAGTTCGCCTGGCAGCCTCGCTGCGCTTGCAAAAAGAGGAAGTCTCATATCTCCTCCTCCTCCTCCTCCTCCTCCTCCTCCTCCTCCTCCGGTTCCTCCTTTGCGGCCTCCTCCACCCCCTCCAACTCCTCCTCCTCCTCCTCCTCCTCCTCCTCCTCCTCCTCCTCCTCCTCCTCCTCCTCCTCCTCCTCCTCCTCCTCCCCCAAGGAACCCCTTCACCTCCCCTTCTCCTCCCTTCTCCTCCGTCCACGTCCAGCCGCGGCGAATAACAGGACTTCCGAGGTGCCCTCTGGGCATTTCTTAATTAGGCCGTCGTGGGTGGACCGTAGAAGGTCTCGGAAGCCACCTGAGCCGTCCTCGTGGTTCTTTGAGGCTCGGGAGAGGAAGTGTCGTGGAAGAGCGATCCCCAACAGTTCGACCATCCAGCCTACCTAGAACTTGAGCGCGCGCGAAACGCGCGGGATGGTTTCAGTATATACGTGTGTGTATGTATATATATATACACATAAACATATCTAGTTCTTTCGGCACGCTCGAATTTGAAATCCTTACGACATCTACGGTTTTTGAATGATATCGGCATTCGTGCGCGCCGACGCGCGCGTGTGCACTTCGTCCCGTGTTTTTCGAGGGATTCTTGCGACAGCACGCGCGCGAGGGTGTACGAGCGATTTCGACATGCGCGCGCGCGAGAGGCCCGTTTGGTAGCGTGTTATGAACATGAAAACACGTTTTTTTTTCAGCATTCGCAAGAGCGCGAGCGTAGACATTTTGAACATTCATGTTGCCAAACCATGTGTTCTTATATGTCTCCAGACACTCGATCTTGAAATCCTTACGAAGACTACGGTTTTTGAAAGATTTCGGCATGCGCGCGACGACGCGCGCGTGTGCATTTCGTCCAGTTTGTGTAAGGGGTTCGTGCGACAGTACGAGCGCAAAGCTCCTTCTGAACATTATTGTTGTTTTTCTTTCTTCTTCTTTCAGCGAATATGTTTAATATATATATATAGGTTTTTGGGACAGTTGTTTCTGACATCTCGACGATATCTAAGGCTTTTCAAGGATTTCGGCATGCGCGCGCGACGTCGCGCGCGTGTGCACTTCGTCGCTTTCCTGCAAGGGTTTTTTGAAACTGTTGAGTTTGATAAACGAGCGTGAGTGTGCGCGCATAGTGTTTCTTGCAGAGGATGAAGGAGGGAGACCGGTTCAATCGGAATGTACCTGTTCATATTCAGGATGGACGATGGGGCAGAATCTTGTGTAAATTGCAATGCACAAAGGGGTCCCGTTAATTCCGGGGGGTGGGTGGGTGGATCGTCATATAATATAATGTTGAATCGGAGAATCTATGCTGTGCAATCTAGGCGGCGACGAGACGGCGACGAGGCGGCGACAGCGGCAATAAGGCGCCAGACTGGCAGACAGGCCCAGACGACAGGCAGCATCGAGGCGGCGACGGGGCGGCGACGGCGGCAACATGGCCTCCAGACCAGCAGACAGGCCCAGAAAACGGGCGGCGACGAGGCAGCGACGGGGCGGCGATGGTGGCAACATGGCCGCCAGACCGGCAGACAGGCTCAGACGCGGGGCTGCGACGGGGCGGCGACTGCAGCAGCATAGCCACCAGACCAGCAGACAGGCCCAGTTCCTGAGAGCAGAAGTAGGGCTCCCTAAGTGCAAGCATTGTTTGGGGAATGATGAGGCACCTGCCCATTTTCTGTTCGATGTAATCTATTCAGCCGCGCCAGCTGCGCCTCCTTGCTGGTTGCGCATACTGTTACTGTTTACCGTGAGGCATGGGCGTTACTGCCGAAAAAAACAAGACCAGGAGGAGGAGGAGGAGGGATGACCACCATGCAACTGGCGGGAAGAGGAAGAGAAATAAGAGGAGGAGCCAGGGTTTCCGTGGTTCGGTCGAATCGGCTGCTTCGCAGTCGGCTGTATTTGGTTGGTTCGGTTCTGTTGCCTGCTGCACGGTTGCGCACTTATAGGCTGCTTGCGACCTTTCGGTTTCGGTCGGTTTCGGTTTCCATTCAATTCGGTCGGTTTTTGTTTGTGCTGTCGCTGCGGATGGCTTGATGAGGAGGAGGCGCATTAGGAGGGGGAGGAGGCAGCCTCATATTCAGATGGAGCCTCCCGAAAGCCACGTGGTCGGAATAACGAGCCCAGGAGGCCATCAGCATAACGGTAGCATAGGCATCCTCAGAGCAGTCGGGGGAGAGTAAATTGGCTTTGATCCAGATCTCCAAACATCAGGTAGTCAGGATATCATTGTATGCGAATTGGTTTGGTGATGGCAATCGTATCCTTTGTCTCGGTTGCAACTCCTAGGATATTAAAATCGGTGCTGGTATATACCTGGTCGAAAAATCGTCATACTCAAGCTTACTTCGCCGCCGATTTTATCCAACCCAATCTCGCTTAGTCTTGCTGAATCTGGCTTAATCGGGGGTTTCGTGTGGCTGAGTCAGGCTTCATGGACCCTGAATGTCTTGATAGCCCTCAGCCGTTCCCACGAGAAGATCTCCCAGGAGTTGCCTCGTAACTTTGCATTTTGTAGCTCTGGTCTCTGTCAGAGCTGAGAGCCGCGCCCTCGTTCTCCATGCTCACAGAGGCTTGCAAAACGGGCAACGAGCTGACCCTCGAGAATGCCGGCGACTACCAGCTTGGCCTGAACTTCTTCCCCAAGGCGAGGCTTCGGTTGCACACACAGCTTGAGTGTGCAATTTACGTCGCATCTTCGGAGGACCTTGTCTGTCCTGAGAGTTGCAGTCTTCTCTTGTGCCTAATGCGGCTCTGACGCGGATTTGACGTGAATTCGACATGGATTCAATGCGGATTCGACACGGATAACCAGCGCGATGGAACCGACGAGGTCTTTACAAGGGCCCGTTTTTTCCTGGAAAGGGCTTGGGCCCAGGGTTCTTATTTAGTACGTTTACCCCCGGAAGCGACTTGATGAGGGTCGGCGGAGTTATTTTGCGATCAATGACGATGAACATTTAGATTTTGTATGGAAAGATGCGTTTCGCGCGTGCCCGCTCGAGGAAGATGTGCCCACCATCTCGGATCCTCGATAAATAACGGGGTCCGCAGACCTCTCTTGGCGCGTCCCGTGCCACGTCCCGTGGCACGTTCCTGGCGGTCCCCTTGGGACGTTCCGAGACGCGTCCCCTTGGCATGTCTCCCTGGCATCGCCCAATTGCATATGCAGTTGAGGTTCTTAGAAACGGTTTCATGCCTCGCAGTTCTGAATCCCTGAATGTTTATGCTCTTGCGATAGCGGACGTTACCAGGGTGGGAGGGGGGGGGGGCGAGAGAGCCGATGACTTCACGACTCGCGCAGGCGCCGTCTGGGAATCAGCAACCTCTGGCAATTCCACAACAGCCGTGGTTGCGAGTCGTGAAAAACGCGCTCCAAGATGGAGCATGGTTCACTGGAGGAGGAGGAGGAGGAGGAGGAGGAGGAGGAGGAGGAGGAGGAGGAGGAGGAGGAGGAGGGAGGAGGAGGAGGAGGAGGAGGAGGAGGAGGAGGAGGAGGAGGAGCGGAGGAGGAGGAGGAGGAGGAGGAGGAGGAGGAGGAGGAGGAGGAGGAGGAGGAGGAGGAGGAGGAGGAGGAGGAGGAGGAGGAGGAGGCGGCGGCGGCGGCGGCGGCGGCGGCGGCGGCGGCGGCGGAGGAGGAGGAGGACGAGGAGGAGGAGGAGGAGGGCCTGGGGCAACGAAGGCGGCGGACATCATTCAGCACGCCAGGCTGAGCCGTCAAGTGGTCCTCGCCCTCGGACCATCCCTGGGCCCGCCTTGAAGGGAGATGACCCGGACGTGCACTACGCAGCGACTAGGACACGGGCGCGAGGCGGGCGCACGCGGTAATCAACGGTGTCTGTTTTCACCAGGCGGGCCACCGCCTGGCCCGCGCTGCTTGCGGGATCAAGTATCCGGCTCAACTGCTCGGTCCGTGCTCACCGTCGCTTCCAGATGCCGCAGCGTGCCAGGACGTTGGCGCTGCTCCACCTGGTGGCCACCGCCGAAGAGCCAGTTCACGATTTCGCTGACAGTCAAGGCGTTGCTGCCGGCTTCCAGGCCGTCCTGGACGCTGCGCACCGCCGCGTCACGGAAAATCAGGCCGACCTGTGGGCTTGTGTCCACCAGGTCCTCCGAGCCAAACGCGACATTTTCTGTGCGGTACATGAAGGTCTCCAGCCCCTTCAGTGAGCAGGGCCAGCCTCGTTTCTGCCACCGCCGAGCACTTCTGTCGGCAGGCCGATGCTCTGGGCACCGACGCCGCGCCCCTGCACAGCATGCCTCTGGACGCTTTGCGGGCGGCGAAGCCTCTTCACCGGCTTGCCGCAGAGCTGTGCACTGTTGCCGTGGCCACCTATGTATGAACTGCAGTACAACGCCCTGCCCCTCCCTCACCGGCGGGCGGGCTACATTTGACACGGACTCCAATGCAAAGGTCTCCATCTTGACCACGGAGGTGCACCGCCACCAGCTGGCGTGTTACCGTCGCAGCCGCCGGGCAGCCCCGACGACGACTGGGCCCACCAAAGGCCAGACCTGGACGACGAGGATCCGTTTCATCTCGGCGGCGACATGGGCCAGCACGACGACGACGCCGCCGACGCTGCTGCTGCGGTACCCCGCGCACAGTGGCCGCGCGGGAAGCCATCCAGGCGGTGGCCTAGATTCCCAGTCTCGTCTTGTAGAACCCTTCGGATGACGCTCAGGAGGGAGAACAAAACACACAGACACGATTAATCGTCGATCCCCCAGAAAATATGGGAAAATATGGGAAGTGGGGTGGGAAGACAGAAACCCAGAAAGTATGGGAAACTAGGGGGTACATCTTTTGGCTTGTGTGTATTTATATATCTGTGTGTGTCCTGGGGCCCCCTTTGGGCGCTCTCGTCGCGGCCTATGGCTCCCGTGTCACTCCCCCGCCTCCCCTCCCAGAGCCCCCCTCGGGGACCCCCCCCCCCCCTCGGCGGGGAAGGGGTCACAGGGACGGGGCCTCCCTCCGACCCACTCGCGACGTTGCTCAATCCCGCTTCGGCTGCTGCGCCTCGCGTTGGCTGGCGCGCGGAAGGAGGAGGGCCCCGGGAAAGAGGGGGAGCGGCGGCGGCGACGGCGACGGCGGCGGCGACGACGACAGCGGCGACGACGACGACGACGAGTCAAACGAAACAGCCTCTCGCACACGCCGACGGGGCCGGCGGATTTTGCAGGGGATTGTCGGGAGGGGAGCCAGAGCATTCAGGCATGCAACGAAGTGCGACAAGGGGGGGGGGGGCCCCGTAGAGGATTATCAGAAAACCTACAGGTAGCACTTAGCATTCTGGCGCGCCTCAACGTGACAGGGGGCACGGTTGCGGATTAGCCAGGGCCGATTCGAATGCTAAGATTGTGGGAGGGGGGAGGGTAAACCCGACGCTGTCCCCGACGCCCATCCCGACGCCCATAGTATCTCGGAAGTCCGCGCCAGACCCCTCCCGGGTTCCAGCGCCGACCTAGGAAGTCCGCGCGAGTCGCAGGAGGTTTACGCGGATGCATCTTTTGCTCTGCAGGGCTCCTGCCTTGGTCCCACTGTTCTAGGTCCTGCAGCTGGGGGCAGAGCAGACGGGGTCGCAGAGTCGCGTCGCATCGCAGGTGCATCGGCGATGCGGTGCGATCCGGAGCCTGTTCTCCTTCATCTCGCCGTCCCCGATGCGTCGCCGATGCGGCGCGATCCTCCGAGCCCATCTGCTCTGGTCCCAAAGCAGAGGCCTCCGGCTGTCTGTCAGGGGTTCCTGATGCCGTGGGCGTCGTGGGTGGCACCCGCCGCGCTCCAGGTACTCTGGGTTTCTTAATAAGCGTGGGGGTACCCGCCCGACGGGGGTCAACCTCGCCTCGTCGTCGCGCCTTCGGCGCGCGGTGGCTGCGACGGGGGTCGGAGCGCCTTCGGCGCGCGGTGGCTGCCCGCGACGGGAGTCCATGTTTGGCTGTCGGCGGGGGTGACGCCCCCGCCCGACGCTTATTGAGAAACTCGGAGTACGCATTGGGCCGCACAGGTCTGGGCCACCCCGGTCACCTGGCGGCAGCGAGCATCCTGGTGCTGATATTGATATTGTCGTCGTCGTGAGATCATGTGCCGTTTTTGGCACCCGGGGGGCCCCTTGCGGGGCTTTGGGGTCGTTCAGAGTTCTTCTTCTTCTTCTTCTTCTTCTTCTCTTCTTCTTCTTCTTCCTCCTCGGATGTGCAGGTCTCTTTGGTGCCTGCATGGGCAGAGCACCTCAGCGCTTCGACCGGCCGCCCAGCCTCGCTGCGGCCCTCTCGCCGCCCAGGGCGAGCTGAAGCAGAAGGAGATGAAGCTCAAAGAGCTGAAGAACGGCCGTCTGGCCATGATCGCCTTCGGCGGTGCCATCACTCAGGACGCACGGCCTCCCCGCAGAATTCAACTTCATCCGATCGATCCGATCCGATGCCAGTTTTGGCTGGCCCGACCCGCTTCGATTCCGATGTTCCGACGGTTCGATGCAGCCTGATGCTCGTATGGCCCCGTTGTCCAGCCTGGCGCGGCCGATCCGATGCGAGTTCGATTCCTTGCTGGAGCCGACTTTCCCCCGTCGCTTCTTGGGCCGTGTACTGCCGAAGCTGCGACAGAACGGGCGCCCATGGGGCCCATGGCCTCCTCCTCCTCCGCAGACCTGCTTTGGACTCCGATTAAATTTTTTCTCCTCTCACTGAGGGAGGGAGCAGTGCGCTGGGGAAGATGTTGCACCCCGCAGTTGCGGATAAGAGTGAGGGGGCGGGCGCGGGGTGGGTCGCGGGTGGGTCGCGGGTGGGTCCCAGGGTGGGTCGCGGGTGGGTTGTGGGGGGGTCGCGAGTGGGTTGCGGGTGGGTCGCGGGTGGGTAGCGAGTTGGACCCGCGTGGGTCGCGGGTGGGTCGTGGGTGGTTCGTGGGTGGGTCCCGGGTGGGTCCCGGGGTGGGTCGCGGGTGTGTCGCCGGCGTGTCGCGGGCGGGTCGCGAGGTGGGTCGCGGGTGGGTCGCGAGGTGGGTCGCGGGTGGGTCGCGAGTGCGTACGCGGGGGGTCGCGGGGTGGGTCGCGGGGAGTGTCGCGTGTGGGTTGCGGGTGGGACGCGGGTGCGTCGCGGGTGGTTCGTGGGTGGGTCGCGGGTGGGTCGCGGGTGGGTCGCGGGTGGGTCCCGGGTCGGGTCTCGGGCGGGACGACGACAACACATAACAATAAACAATAAACAAACAACGAACAACAAGCAACAAGCAACAACAACAGCAGCAACAACAACAATCATTTTAAGACTGTTCCCCATTACTGGCACCCGTGTCTTGCATTCTGTGTACCCCAACCCTCGATACCCGCCTTCTTCGTCTTCGATTGCACCCCCTTTCGGGGGGAGTATCATGTCGGCCTCTGACTGAAGTGCGAGGAAGTCTCGAGCGAAAGCGCCGTTCCTGAGTTCGGGGGCCTCTTTGGCCAGGGACTATCGGAATACCGATAGAGAAATATCGAACGGGAACCTTTGTCGCCGAGTCTGGGCCTCCACCAACTCGCCTGAATTACGAGAAAGTCTCGAGCGAGAGCGCCGTTCCTGAGTTTGTGGGCCTTCCTGGCAAGGGGCTCTCGGAGTAAATCGTGAGAAAGTATCGAGCAGGAGCCCTTGTCGTCGTGGCTGGGCCTCCGCCAATCTGATAGAATGGCGAGGAAGTCTTGAGCGAAAGCGCCGTTCCTGAGTTCGAGGGCCTCTCTGGCCAGGGTGTCTCGTTGTAGACTATGAGGAAGTATCGAGCGGGAGCCGTTGTCGTCGTAGCTGGGCCTCCAAGGGCCCACATTTAGACTCAAACCAACGCTCGCGCAGAAGCCTCGAGCGGGCGAGAGCGCGCGGAACCGTTTCTGGAGATCAGCAATAATTACCCTTTAGAAATGAGGACTCAACGGCAACAACAACGGCAACAAGAACAACACCACCACCAACAACAACGCTAACACCACCACCAACAACACAATCATCAACAGCAACAACAACGGCAACAACAACAACCACAACAACACTAATCACAGCAACAACCACAACAACAGCAACACCACCAACAGCAACACCACCACCACCAACAACAACACCATCAGGAACAACAACACCAGCACCACCAGCAACAAAACACCACCACCACCAACAGCAACAACAACATCAACAGCAACACCAACATCAGCAACAACAGCAACACCACCACCACCACCAACAACAGCACCACCAACAACAACGACAACCACACCAACAACACCAACAACACCAGCAACACCAACGACACCAAAAGCAGCAGCAACAACATCAACAACATCAACAACATCGACAACATCAACACCACCACCACCAGCAACAACAGCGACAACGACAAAATCAACAACACCAACATCAGCAACAGCACCACTGATGATACCACCAGCAACAACAACATCACCACCAGCACCAACGGCAACAGCAACCACAGCAACACCAAAAGCAGCAGCAGCAGCAACAACAACAAACAACAACAATGTGCATCGCGGAAGCCCAGGGCAGCCACGCACCCGGGGACAGTGAATGACCGTGTCGGCCCCGCACCCGGGCACTCTGACAAGAACGCTAGGAGGAAACGAGGAGGAGGAGGAGGAGGAGGTTTAGGGTTTAGGGCAGACCCTAAGATCAGAGAGCCGGTAAATGTTTACTTCCATATCCCCACGTCTTACTCGGCATTTTTTTCGGGGGTATTTTTTTGGATTTTGATTTCGTTTTTTTTCTTTTCTTTTGCACATGCGGCCGGGATCCCTTGCAACATACATCATGTTGGGAGGGAGGGCAGGAAACGTGCGCGGTGTCTTGAGTACCCCCGCCGACCAACCAGCAACGTTTCTCTCGAAGTTAGTCAGCTCCAATGAATGTTTGATTTCAGCGTTTCTGCAAGTGGAACGTGTGCTCCACTGGTGGCGTTCCTCGGTTACCCAGCATTGGCCCATGCAGCAAGGCTCAAAGATGAATCCGCGGCCACGCTGGTTCAAGCATCTCGGCTCTGACAATCTTGAGTGCACATTTGCTTACGCTGGAACAACTGGCCTGACAGTTTCTTCTTTCCAGTTCAGTGGGATGGCAGCCCAACAGTCTCCTTGGGCCGTGTGGTCCGCGGTTGTCCTTGTCCACAGCATACCTGCTGTAACCTCCATCAAGCTTAGGGGGGGAGATCAATCCGAAACTTGGGCGACTGCTGGTCGGTGCACGGATTACGTGCCGCCGGGGCAGTCGAAGTGGTACGATCTTTTCGGGCCGTACTACGATTGCGCAAAGTACGCAGAGGGTTATTGCGCGAGCTGGGGAAACGGGTATGCGAACTTCGGGTACACAGGCAACCAGGCGTGCTGCGCTTGCGGGGGCGGGGGCGGCGGGTTGACGCCGATTCCGACTCCTCCGCCAACTCCTTGCTTCGATACTTCGGAGGGAGCGGTTGGGACAATTGTCCCCCACAATGGGCAAGTCCACGGCGGAGTCGTAAGCTGCGATGTCTACACGGCGGCGGCCCTTCAGTATCCTGATTTCCTTGCCGCTTGCGTGCAGCATTCTTTCCAAGATGACGACGCCGACTTCACCGCCGTGGACATGTGCTGTGCGTGCGGGGGTGGTGCAGCAACGGCGCCTGCGCCAGCGCCAGCGAGTACGACAGCACCAACGCCAGTGCCGACGCCTGCACCGACCCTAGCGCCAATCCCGGCGCCCACGCTGGAACCGACGCAGCTGGCGCCAACCCCAGCGCCTACGCCGGCATCAACGCCGGCGCCGACGCCCGCACCGACTCCAGCACTGACCCTGGCGCCAACCCTGGCGCCAACGCCGGCACCGAGTCTGGCGCCGACGCCTGCGCCGACTCTGGCGCCTGCACTAGCGCCTACTCCGGCACCAACGCCGGCGCCTACGGTCGCGCCAACGACAGCACCGAGCCTGGCATCGCCACCTGCCGCGGGCGGGGGAGGCGGAGCTTCGGCAGTTGGCGATCCCCACCTGCAAAACGTTCACGGCGAGCGGTTCGACCTGATGAAGGCGGGCAAGCATGTTCTGATAAACATCCCTCGTGGAATGAGTGCTGAAAACGCATTGCTTCGCGTGCAGGCCGATGCGCACCGTTTGGGTGGACATTGCGCAGACATGTATTTCCAGGAGCTGAACGTTACGGGGTCTTGGGCAGAGGCCAAGCAAACTGGAGGGTACCATCACGTCGCATCGCAACGTGCGGTCAGGAGTCCGGAATGGATTGCTTTTGGGAAGGTCGAGCTGAAAGTTGTTCACGGAAGTACGGGCAATGGCTTCTTGTACCTGAATTTCTACGTGAAGCATTTAGGGCGAGCGGGTTTTGTTGTCGGGGGCCTACTGGGCGAAGACGATCATGATGATGTGAGCACGCCTCCCGAAGCGTGCGGGCAACGTTTGTCCCTTCTAGCCGGAATGCACACCGACCAGGGTCACGCTGCGGCTTCAGTTGCAGTCGCCAATTTTACTTGAGAGGGCTTGTGTCCTTCCCCAGGCCCTGACCTCTGCGCGTGCTTTAGGCATCTCGTATTCCCAGCCTGCTTTCTCACCAGGCACAATGAGGATGAGTAGGAGAGGAGACGGAGGGAGAAGATGACGAAGAGGAGTATGAGGAGGAGGAGGAGGAGGAGGAGGAGGAGGAGGAGGAGGAGGAGGAGGAGGAGGAGGAGGAGGAGGAGGAGGAGGAGGAGGAGGAGGAGGAGGAGGAGGGCGAGGAGGAGGAGGAGGAGGAGGAGGAGGAGGAGGAGGAAAGGGTCTCCGGGGCTGCCTTGCGTTAACTCGTGCCCTCATGGGGCCCTATTGGGTGAACAGTGGCGCTGTCTAGGGAGGCATCCGGTTTCCACGGCCGTCCGGCGCTTTGTGGCCTTCTTCGGAGTTTGGCCCAATCCTCGGGTCCTTCGCTAGCGCCACTCTGGACCACGCACAAAATGTAGTTCGGGCACTTCTTGTCGCCAGCCTGCGTTCTCACAGCCAGCGGGCGCCCCGGGCCAGCGGGGCGCTGGTCCCAGCAGCGGCCACTGTCTATCGGCGGTCCCGTCGGTTGGGTAGGCCATTGCGGTGCCAGCTTTTGCTCGCATCCTCCCACCCCCTTCCCCATCCTCTCTTTGGGGCCGCGAGCGCTTCAACCCGCTCGTGTGAGCCGGCCAAGGCCGGATCGAGCCCTCGTTTCTGTGCGCCCGAGTCTGAAAAAGGAATCGGTCAGGCGTCGCAAACGGTTTCAAAACCCAATGCCAGGAAGTTTGATTTGTTATTTCTATAGTTCGTCTTGTGGCCGCAGATCTGCGTACCCGGATCTCTGGGATTTCCTGCTCGCCCTGCCTATACCGAAAGCTTCGCACGTCCTCATCATCCCGTCATT